AGTAGTCGAGTTGTCGAACCAAAAGTATTGGGTCAAGGGGTAGTTATTCTGGCATAGGATAGCGGGCGATTTGCTTTTCTAAAATACGCCCCCGCCGAGTTTTTGAGATGGCAAAAAACAAGAGGAAAAATGGGAAGAAAATCTTGGAAATTAGTTTGCGATCTTTAAATTCAAGGTTGATTTCTCTTGTGCATCTTGATGAATCTGGCTTCGCTGATGATGGTGAAGAATCCTCATCGGAATCGGATCTGATAGGGTCAACGGGTCCTAGAGGAGAGAAGAAGAACGCTCTAATGGCGGATTTGCTAATTTCTGCTCCTGGTCCTGTCCCCATCTCCCCTAGACTGAATAGAATCCAATCTCGTCAAATTCTTGGTAAGACTCTGAGTTCTCAATCTGTCGCAAATAGTTCAACCAAGGTTTCTTGGGCTGAAGAAGTTGAATCTGTCGCTGTTCATTCACTTAGGCATCAAGCTTTGAAAGCTACTAGTTATCTTGATCCTAATTCAGTTTCTATTACTGATCCATCGGATTTGATTGATGACAGTAACTTTCATCAAGATCATGTAAATGTTTCTCCTAAGGTTTTGAATTTGGTTGCACAATCAAAAATTGTTAATTCTAATGTTCCTCTTCCTGCAAATGCCTCTCCTAAGGATTTGAACATGGATTCAAATGCTGGTAATTCTAATTTTCCTCCTAAGGAATCCAAGATTGCCAATCAAGAACCTGGTCAGAAAAGTTGGGCAAGTCTTTTCACAGATAATAGGCAATTTGGTGTAGGTATGAGCTTGAATTTTGTGGCTTAAGATGTTGTGATTTTGATGAAGAGGAGTGGAACGAAGGAAATTCAATATGGAAATTCTCTTTAATTGGGCAAGTCATGTCTAGTTCAATGCTATGGAATTTTTTATTCATAAAGTCTGGGCTAAATGGGCTATTCCTAATATTTGCATCCTTATAACAGGGGTCTTTTTGTTCAAATTCAAGAATAAGGTTGAAATGAATGATATTCTTGTCAATGGATCATGGTTATTTGGTTCTAGGCCCCTCCTGTTGAAAACATGGTCGAATGATGAGGAAATTAAAAAAAATTAATGATTGTATCTACCCAATGTGGATTCAATTTCCAGCTCTAAGGCTCAATTTATGGAATTCCAATAGTCTCAGTAAAATAGCTAGCCTAATTGGCAAACCTATAGCTACTGACATGTAATGGTTCTTATTGAAGTGCACATGCCTTCTCCACTTCCATATCAAATCTCCGTACAAGGGCCTAATGGTATGATAATCAAGCAAAAAGTGATTTATGAATTGAAGCCAAAATGGTGTGAAAGTTGCAGGCTAATAGGACATGACACAATGTTTTGTAAAAGGTTTCCTAGGGCTCAAAGATGGATACCAAAACAAAATCTTGCTACTAATCAGGTTAGACTAGGAGGTGGTTCAAGGAATAAGGATAAGCATGAGGAAAATGTTACACAAGGTGAACTTAGAGTCAGTGCTTAGGAATATTTGCAAATTCCACATGGGATTGCTCTCAAGCCTCAGTACACTGGAAACACAAGTAAAAATAGGCCTGTGCATGATGCACAAAAACCTGTCTATGGAAAAACTCTCAGTCCTGAGCATGATGTGCACAAATCTGTATCTAGATTTACTAATAGACAAAATGTTGAAGTACATCAAGATCTGGGTGGGGGGGGGGGGTATGGAAGAGCATAGGTCTATGCATATAATGCATGTTCACAAACCTACAATGAATGAGGCTATAAATTGGTCTACAGGTTCCAGCAGTAATCCTGGATGCAGATCTGTGCATGTGGTGCATATTCAAAATCAGTGTCCTGGAACTGCTGGATCAAATGCTAGTTTCAAGGGCCTTATACAAGTTGATAACTCCTGGCCACAAGTTCAAAATAGAAGATATAGAAGTGTTATCTCTTGAGGGAACTTATTTGCACATCTCAATAATCTGGACCTTGACCCCTCTACATTTGAAAGAGGGGGAATGAAAAAAATATAAATTGGTCCTTTTGGAATATTAGAGGGTTAAACAAATCCTCTAAGCAATACTTGGTTAAGCATAATCTTCTGCAATATAATCTGACTTTTGTTGCTCTTCTTAAAATAAAAATTATGGTTGATAAAATTCCAGTTTTTGCCAAAAAACTTGCTGGAAATTGGAAATGGTTTTCTAATGCAAATAGCTCTACCAAAGCAATAATTTTGCTATTATGGGATCCAAACTTCCTGGAAGTGCAAATAGATAATTTTACAAATCAACATGTCACCTGCAAAGTTAAATCAATGGATGGGAAAATTGACTGTATCATTTCCTCTGTTTATGAGCAAAATAACTTGGAGAAAAGGAAAGATTTATGGTTAAGCCTCATCCAAATTTATCAAAATATTGGAAATAAGCCATGGCTATTGTGTGGGGATTTCAATGCTATCACAGGTGCTAAGGAAAAGCTATGGGGAACTACACTTACTGAGTCAGATACTAGAGATTTTAGAGACTTCATAGATGATTGTTAGCTCTCTCATATCAAAGTTGAAGGATGCTTCTTTACTTGGAATAATGAGGAAGATTCAACGTCAAGAGTATGGAGTAGATTGGATAGACCTTTAATCAATGGTTACTGAATGAACATGTACAACTCAAGTTATATGGAATTCATGCTGCCAAATTTCTCAGATCACTCTCCTGGGTTGGTATCCATCTATGATGACTGTGTTCAAGGGAAGAAGCCATTTAAATTCTTCAAGATGTGGATCAACCATGAAAAAAATTTCCTACTGTATCCACAGTCTGGAATATAAATATAAAAGGATATGCCATGTTTTCTGTTTATACAAAACTCAAAATCCTAAAAAATACTCTGAAGGATCTGAACAAAAGGCACTTCAACAACATTAGTGAGCAAGTGATAAGGTCAAAACTAGCTCTTGAAGAAGCGCAAAAAAATCTACAATTGGATCCCCTCAATCAATTCCTCATTGATCAAGAAATAAATTGCACAATTTCTTACAATAAATTACTGGATTGTGAACTTTCTTTCTATCAGCAAAAATCCATAATTTTATGAAGCTTACAAGGAGACAGATGCACAAGTTATTTTCACTCTGTTATTAAATCAAAGAGGCATCTAAACAGAGTAATGGTTCTCTATAACAATGCTGGAGAGAAACTTACTGATGGTGAGAAGATAACATCTGAACTTATTTCTTTTTACAAAAATCTCATGGGATCAGCAACAGATACTGTCAAACCAGACATGAATATTATCAGTAATGGCCCTTGTTTAAATGCATCACAAGAAAAATACCTCTCAGATCCAGTTATCAGAGATGAAATTAAAGAAGCTTTGTTCTCAATCCCTGGCAACAAAGCCCGTAGTCCTGATGGGTATAGTATGTCTTTCTTCAAATCAGCTTGGGGTATTATTGGGGAAGAGATTTCTCTTGCCATTGAGGACTTTTTCAAAACTGGTAAATTGTTGGGTGAGATTAACTCTACATCCATCACATTGATTCCTAAAGTGCAGTGTCCTAGAACTCCATCAGATTTTAGACCAATAGCATGTTACAATTGTCTCTATAAATTCCTTTCAAAAAATTTAACAAATAGGATGAAATCACTGATGGGGACACTAGTGAATGAGGCTCAAAGTGCTTTTATTAAAGGGAGACAAATAACAAGTAATATTCTCCTTGCTCATGAGCTTGTCAAGAATTACAGCGGGAAGCATATTTCTCTAAGAGTTATGCTTAACATAGATATCAAAAAAGCATTTGACACAATCAACTGGGATTTCCTCAAAGATATGCTCGTTGGTCTGGGGTTTCCTGAAGCTATGATAAACTGGATAATGGCTTGTATTACCTCCCCTAAGTATTCCATTGCTCTAAATAGATCTTTACATGGCTATTTCAAAGGCAAAAGGGGTCTGAGGTAGGGTGATCCCCTCTCATCTTATCTATTCATCCTTAGAATGGAATACCTCTCAAGAAGCTTGAATTTATTAAAAGAGGATAGGAAATTCAATTTTCATCCTAGATGTAGTAAATTCAGAATCACTCACTTAATTTTTGCAGATGATCTCCTCTTATTTGCCAAAGGAGATTTATACTTTATGACTAAGCTTCAACATTAATGCTTTAGAGACTTCAGTGCAGTTTCAAGCCTTGAAGCAAATTCAAGCAAACGCTTAGTTTTTTTGGAGGAGTAGATGATCCAACCAAGATCTCAATTACCAGTTGCTTGGGGTATCCAGAGGGAGTTATGTCTACTAGACCCTGGTGTCCCTCTTATTTGCAAAAAGCTATCATACTTGGAGTGTGCACCTCTCTTTAACAAAATTATGGACCAGTTTCAGTCACGTGCAAGTCACAGGAACTTATCATATGCTGTGAGGCTTCAAATAATCAAAAGCACAATTCTGGGAGTGCAAGTTTTCTGGACATCCAACTATATTTTACCTGCTAGTGTACTTCAAAAATTTATGTGTTGTGCAAGAACTTCCTGTGGGGGAAACAAGATCATAATGTCAAAGCTAATTCTTTGGTCTCATGGGATAAAGTGTGCCTAGGAAATAAATATGGAGGCTTGGGAATATATTCAGCTTCCATTTGGAATTTTGCTTCAGCTCTGAAAATTCTATGGAATATCCATACTAGCAAAGAAAGTCTGTGGATAAAATGGATACATGGCACCTATCTAAAAGATAGGAATATCTGTATAGTTTAAGCAAAGAGTGGGGATTCATGGATGTGGAAACAGATCCTAAAAACTAGAGACAAAGCCTTGGTCTTCAGTGGAGGTATTGAAAATCTGAAGCAAATGATTAGTTCCTGTATCAGGAATTCAAAAATTCAGATGTCTGAGCTCTATCATACTCTCTCCCCTGCATCAAGCATTGTACCATGTCATAGCACAATCTGGGAGGGAATATGTCATCCTAAGCACTCCTTTGTGAGCTGGTTATCTATGCAAAATAGACTACTTACTCAAGATAGACTACTTAGATGGGGAATAATTATCTACAACACTTGCTGCTTATGTGCAGGAGCTGTTGAGGAGAGCGGAGATCACTTATTTTTTGATTGCTACTACTCAAGTGATGTCTGGTTGCTTGTAACGGATTGGCTAAAATTTACATGGAGATCTTGTGTGTGGAGTCACATTATGAATTGATATTGTCACAATTTGAGAGAGAAGGAGTACAAGCAAAAAATCAAGAGGATGGCTCTATCTTCAACACTATATAGTGTTTGGATTGAGAGAAATAACAGGATCTTCAAGAATAAGAGCTAAAGTGTTGATCAGTTGTTTAGGGAAATAAAGATCAACATGTTGTACATAGTTCTTAATAGCACAAATTTGGTTGAAGGGAGAGAGTGGATACTGTCATTGTAAATATATAGAGTAGCATGTTAAGTTTGTAATCTCAGGTTATGAGTATCTTGATGTACTCTCATTTCATATATTGGTGAATGAATAAAGTTTTTTCATTGACCAAAAAAAAAGATAGTAGTCAAGTTGTTGTAATTCCAAAACCTCGAAACAACGTCCAAATCATTATGATGAATTACTCATATATTAAGTTAGATTAATAGTAAGCTAAATTAGATAGTACACCAACTTCCTATTGCCAAGTCTTCAGCAAGCTCATGTTTTATCTTGATCAACAGTTAGGTCTATTTCTCGCCATCCTCCAAGAAGATCAATACAAAAACGTACAAACACAATCGTTGAACAATTATGAAGTGGATTACCTTTATGCCGCTGAATTCTGGGATTTTTGTAATTTCTATCCTGTGAATTATATATATGGATTGAATTAAGACCACAGTAATATAGATTATTGTCAAGCTAGCTCATCTTCGTTCCCCATAGACCCATAGGACTAATGGAACAAAAATGAAATTATCTCAAATATTCGAACATTTCAATTGTCTCTGTTATGTACAACGCAAATAATCAACCAAAAACAACAAAAGGACGTGTATATGAAAGATAAACATAATCGAAAAAGAAGTGTAACCGTGACTGCAAGTGAATAACTAGAATGTACTAAAGGAACAATTGATCCACTAGCAAGTCTAAATCCTAGCAAGTCTAAATCTTGGTAATCAAGTAGACCCAAGAAAAGTCCAAATCAATGAAGGATATTGCATTTCACCCTCAAAGGTGTCACTAGTTAACTCAAAAGAAAAAAGTTACTTTAATTTCATGCGTGCTTTTTCACAAGAACTATTCATTCTATTTGTACTCTAGAAAAGGAATAAAGACTTCGATTATCAAGAAGAAGACTTTACTAGTCAAGTGGAAATTATAACAGAAGATATATACGGATTTAACCTTGGGAATATCTGCTGACAAAGAACCCTTGTTGCTTATATATGCACTTAAAGTGGTATATTAGATCTAGCCACAAACAGAAGTTTCATGAATTTTGCAAGCCAGTTAATAATATTTTAGTCCCTAATTTGTTAGAAATGATAATGTGCAAATCCACGAAATCAGCTAAAAGGTGGCTATTATGTCTGTCTATGTGTTATCGATAATGGGTTAATTATAAAGAGTATATCGAATAGTCTATATGGCATGAATGTCGTAAGAAACATTTATTTCCATCCATCTAAATTTAGATTTAAAATCTATTTATTTCGAAAGATAATACTTCAGTAAACATACAGATCCGAAAGAAGTTTTAGTGAAATTCTAAATTAAGGAATCGCCCATTCCTGCTACGTTACTTCAATACGTGCAATATCTTTGAATATAGTTATGTAAAGTTGTAAGGCAATCTTTTATCCTAATGCCAATATCAGTTTGTGAAGTTTGATTCAAATTATGTTCATTTAATATTTCAGGAACAGCCTCTACAAGCTGCAGGGGTTGGATTGAATTGTTTAACCTGCAACCACAAACAGGGTGACCCCCTCTCCCCACTCCTATTTCTGCTCATTGTTGATGTCCTGACCAAGATGATCTCCTCTAGTGCTCTCTCAGGAGACCTCACTGATCTTAATCTGAAAGGGGAGCCTAATCATATTAGAACCCTCCAGTTTGCAGATGACACCCTTATTTTCTGCAAAGCCACTCGTAGAGACATTTTCACTCTCAAAATCATCCTCCGTCTCTTTGGTCTTACTTCTGGACTATCCATGAATCAGGCCAAATCCCACCTCTACTATCTGGGTAGAATCCCCAACAAAGGTACCACTCTCGCTAACTATCTTAACTGCTCCCTTGGTACCCTTCCTTTCTCCTATCTTGGTCTTCCCCTTAAAAGGGGTTCTCTTTCCAGAATAGAGTGGCAACCCATGCTCGACTCTCTTTCAAAAAAGTTGTCTGTGTGGAAACAAAAATCTCTATCTATTGGTGGTAGACTCACTCTTCTCAATTCAGTTCTATCTTCAATCCCTCTTTACTATATGTCCTTCTTTAAACTCCCTTCCTGGCTCATCAACTCCATTGATAGAATTAGAAGGAAATTTCTATGGGGCTGCTACCCCCAACACTTCCAAACCTAGGAGTTTAATCAGCTGGGGAACTGTCTGTAAACCCAAGGTTGAGGGGGGTCTAGGAGTCATCAACCTCCACTCTTTCAACCAGGCTCTTCTATCCAAGTGGTTATGGAAAATCAGTCTAAAAAACTCATTCATTAGCAAGGTCATTTGGTCTATATATTCATCCAATTCCTCCAACCCTTTAGTGAGTCCTCCCAAGGCATCAGCCTCCAACTTGTTCAGAGACCTTTTTGGTATTCATGACTCTTTCTTTAGCCAGGTTCAGTGGTCCATAGGGGACGGCACTTCTTGTAGATTCTGGCATGATAAATGGCTCGGTGCCAATACCCTCAGGAGCTTATACCCAAGAATTTTTCAACTCGCCTTCTCTCATTCCAGCTCAGTCTTTTCCCAAGGAGTATTCATTAATAACGTATGGAGATGGCACCCCATCATCAGGAGATCTCATTCCACAGTGACTAGAGAAGACATCAATCACCTGCACTCCATTCTAGCTCTATCCAAGATTCCGGACATTCAAGCACATGATAAGATCAGTTGGCCCCTCCATCACTCCAGTGAGTTCACCGTCAACTCATACTACAGATTCCTTGTCTCAGGGGGCATTACATCTCACTTATTCAAATTCATATGGAAATCTCCCACTCCCCACAAAGTCAAAATTTTCCTTTGGCTCCTTAGCCATCAGAAGCTTCAAACGAAAGATGTGCTCTCCAAAAAAGGGTGGACGGGTGACAATACATGTCCTTTATGTAATTCTGCTAGCGAGACCCATGAACATCTTTTTGTCAAATGTTCAGTCCTGAGAGAAGTTTGGTTTCTGATCTCCCACAACCTCTCCTCTGACATTTGGCCGCAAGATATCTCAGCTCTTTTCTGTGGATCCTCTAACCAGTTTAGTGACTACCGTATCAGATGCCTATGGAGAGTTCTCCTGCCCTGTTGCTGTTGGAGAATCGTGACTACCGTATCAGATGCCTATGGAGAGTTCTCCTGCCCTGTTGCTGTTGGAGAATCTGGTTTAGCAGAAATAATAAGATTTTTAATGGTGTATCTACATCTCCCATGATCATAGCAGCTCATATTGCCCGTTTTACCTTGTTATGGACAGGTGCTGCTTCAGGAAGAAGAGCAGCGAGCATGCACAGAGCAGCAATCGGTCTAGGTTTGAAGGAGCTAGCCAAAGCTGGCATGCACAGAGCAGCAATCGGTCTAGGTTTGAAGGAGCTAGCCAAAGCTGCTAAGGATGATGGAGTTGAGGAAAATTTCTAATTTCATCATCTCCCCTCTTGTTATTTTGTGGATATCGGTCCAACAGAACCAGTAGCTCTTGTTTTGTGATAACTGTCTAAAGTACTATATCTAGTTCTAGTTGTGTAGCAGGGACTATAGGAACCATCTTTGATTTGACTTGGTGGGTGACGACAAGGTTCGCTCCCCACTGGTTATATCATCTATTGGTTTTTATTATCCTCTTTTTTGTCTGGTATTACTTGTAATTACCCCATCCCTTTTGTTCTATACATATCTAATATATATGAACAGGGAATCTCTCCCTGTTTTTTTTGGTTCAAAAAAAAAAACCACAAAATGCCACTGTTTTTCCTTATCGGCATCATCCCTTCGCTAAATCTAATTTCCTCGTGCTTAATTAGGACACATTAATGATGATGACAATGTAAGTAACATACAT